ATATGTTATATTTAACACTTATTGATAGGGTTTATTGCTTACGATTTGAGCAGAGGCGTTTTATATATTATAAAAAACGTTTGGTTTTTTAAAAAATATAATATATATGAAAAATGAATGTAAACAAAGAATAAATCTATTTTGCATTTTTTTCATTAACATGACAATTCGCACGTTATCATTTAAAAATACTTTATTTGAAATAAATGGCAAAATGAAAACACTTCAATTTGTAAATACTGACTGACAAATATATTTTAAACCAATTTATAAAATAGCATGAAATTTAAGAGCAAATAAATATTATATAAAAAAAATAACCTGGCGTAAAAAATGAATCTTCTTGAAAAAGATTGCAAATCCTATATTTCTGAATAGATTCAGCAGATAGCTCACTTTTAAATAAGAATATTTTTATTCAATAAAATTAAATGAGTTATTAAAACTAGACAAAATAATTTTTCAAGTCGGTAAAATAAGGAAAAAAATTAAAAAAATGAAGATAAATTTATTAAATTTAAGAAAAAACTGGATTATAATAAAATAAAAATCATGAGGTTCCTCAAATTATTTAGGGGGCTCAAGCTCGCCCCCTCTCCTAGTGACTCTACTAATATTTATATGCTTAATTAATATATTTGGTTATTTTTCATAATCAAATTGGTATACACTATGAGTTTTTTGCCAGATTATTAAAATTTTGTTTTATCACCTACATTTATATGGAAAATATTATCCAATCATCTCATTTTTTTAGTAGATAAATATATCAGATTGCTGGCATGGACCAAACCACATCTTAATTGTAGATTTTCCAACTTCAGAGCGTTAGCGTTTTGCTAATTTTCAAAAATAGTCAAAAATTAAGGTAATTGTATCTTATAATGAGGCAAAAACTAATTGGTTTAACAAAAAGGAAATAATTCAAACCAAAATTTGCAAAAATATTTCAACAGTCTCTCTATAGCTATTAAGGGGCTTGAACACCTCAGTTATGCTGTAAATTTATCTGTATAAAAAGACAATCTAAAATAGATAAATTTATACGTAACTATTATGTAAATCTAGTAAAATATATCTATAATATATATAAGCCGTGTCACAGTCACAGTGTCACAACGTAATAGCCAATAGTATTATTTCAAAAAATATTCGTCCAATAAAAATCACCATTATATCAAACACTCATTTAGCAATGTTAACATTAACATCAAATCTTCCATTAACATCTTATACATCATAAACATATATACTAGAACTCATTCATCAACGATACCATTAATATATTATATATCATAAACATATATACTAGAATTAGCTGATATTATAGATTCTTACACAATCTTATATCAATATTATACTACACAATCTTAAATAATTAAAACATATATATAAAATAAGTTTTTTTAAGGATATCTCTCATAGGCAATGGATAAATTTTTTAACTTAGTTACAATTTTATTATTTTTTTTAGATTCCTGCACAAGATACCATTCAACAAATACTGGAAATAAACAATCAAATTGTAGTAGCACTGAAAAGAGCAAAGTATTATTGTTTCATCCTAACAGTAAATTTTATATTTTTTTTATTTTTTAATATACTAGTTACAAGTCAGGTTCTGATAAAAAAAACAAGACCTATATAAATTTCTTATTTAGATTATATTTAAATACTTAATAATTTTTTTCTGAAAAACTATCCCATGGAAAATTTAAAAATTGCTGCCATGAAGATCCTGTTTTATTGCCTTCTCTACAATATCTAGATTTTTTAAAAGATTTACTTTCAAATTTAGACAATCATTTATAACATACAACAGTTCCTTGGTTTTTGCTTCTATGAGGGCTAAAGATGATTACAAAAATAAGTTGCATAACTTTTTAGTGTATATAATGCATCCATTTTATAAAATTCTATATATGTATATTTAGGGATCTTTTGAGAACCCTTTAATCAGAATTTTCTCCTTTATTAGATTAATAAAGATAACCGGTCAATGACGGGGATTATTACTTTTCTCCTTGATTCGAATCTATGATGGTAGATCTTTTTTTAAAAGAGTATTTAGGAAGGTTTTAAAGCATTTAAATGATTCTTTGAGATGAATGTAGATTTTATAAGAAGTGAGAGGGCAAACATTACGTCTGGGTGTGGAAAAAGAATTGATAAATATCACAATTCACAAATCATTTTTTTTTATTCCATATTTTCTATAATATGATTTTTTCTCTAAAAATTTAAAGAAATCTTGGAAGAATGAATACGGATAATCTATTACTCTCATTTGACTATTCTGATTCATCCATCGTCAAATAAAGGTAAAATATTTAACCATAAATAGAAAATTCTGATTCCCCCGTCATTCTTGACGGGCTATCAGCTAGTAATATTTTAATAACTATGTCCTAATAATGAAATTTAGTACATTGACATTATAAAATATATTTTCTAACTAATAGTTCTTTATTTTTGATCATACTATATAATTTATAGTTAATATTTGTTTAAACATTTTTGTATATTCACCTATCAACGTTACTATCTTTCAACAACTTCTTGAAAAACATCCACTAGCTTCCCCTTTTAACATTCACCCACATGCCTCTTCCCCTATGCCTTTTACCTGTGATGAAGTACTTAAGTACTTAAAGTCCTTTAAAAAAAGGGACGACAGGTGGGTTGGACGGCTTCAGACCTGGTTTTTTTATGGATTTAATTCAATGCTCTGATAGTGGTTTTATTACCCTTTGCTGAAATCATTAACTGAACTTTGCAATAATATCCTCGTATGCGAAGTTCCTCTTTGTATTCGTCCTATTCTTTTTGGCGCACGTCTTGTTTCTTTAACCAAACCGGATGGTGGCATTAGACCCATATCCATAGGGTCATTCTTTCGTCGTGTCGCCAAGGCTATTGTAAATAGGATTCGGCCTAAGGCCAGTTCCTTCTTATTTCCTTCACAGTTAGGATTTGGAGTGAGAGGTGGGTGTGAAGTGGCCTCACATGTTGCGCGCATTTTTATAAATACTGAGGCCGATAAGGTTTTCTGCAAATTAGACTTCAGAAATGCCTTCAACACCATCCATAGGAGGGCATTCTTACCATCTTTTTTACACCATTTCCCAAAATACTAGAATTTCCTTAATTCCAATTATGGATTCCCTTCGTTACTCAAATTCGGGGAATTTTCCATATCCTTCGGAGAGGGGATTGAGCAAGGTGATCCACTAGGTCCCTTGCTCTTTACTATAGGGATTCAGGATGTGATCAAAAATTTAAAGCCTGATTTCAAATTAGACATTAATTTATGGTATCTCGACGATAGCTCTTTTGGCGGTTCTTTATCCAATGTTATGTCGGCCATAGAGTACGTTGAAATGGAAGCTTCTAAAATTGGTCTTTAAAAAGTGTGAAATTTCCTCCCTAAACAATAAGGATTTTATCTCTCCCTTAGATTTTACAATCATTCCGCACGAGGAACTCTGTCTTTTAGGTTCCCCTATCGGTTTTTCAACTTCCTTTTGTCAAAAAACTTTTGACAATTTGATCCAGTCCCTTTCCAATTCACTCAAGAATCTTTCTCATCTCCCCAAGCATCAGTTCTTCTTTCTCATTAAAATATGTCTTTTTCTACCGAAATTCTTACATTTATTTAAATCTTCCCCCGTTTTCCAGTACAATACTCTCCTTAATGTCTTCGAATTAAAATTTAAACATTTTATCGAATCCCTTTTAGGCTTAAATTTTTCCGATTTCAATTGGTCCCTCGTCTCTATGCCCGCTTACTCGGCGGCAAAAGACTTGTCTGGGACGTCTCTTGTGTTACCTCCTTTCCGGCTAACGGAAATACCGACCCCTTGGAACTACAAGAAACCTATAGGTTTAATAAATATAGATTCCTCCCTAATTCTTTTATATTTATTCCCCCATTTTTTAGCGTCCTTGGAAACTCCGGTCCCCAATTTCTAAAGTTCCTAAATTAATTGGGTAGAAGAATTTCGTTAAGGACAGGGGTCAAAAACGAGTCCCTATCTCTTAAACAAAAAATCTAATTTGAAATCCTAAAGGGGAACTACAAATGTTTTTTCGAAACACTCCCATTTTCCCTCCTAGTTCATCAAATATAGTTATTTATTATATATTAAAAACTGTTTTGTTAATTTTATTTATATTTTGCATTGCAACTATATTTAGAATTTAACCACAAAAAAATATTTTTCGTTATAATTAAACAATTATGTTTTAAAATATATATATTAGATAATGTATATACCTTGTAATAGATATAAAAAAATTTTAATAAAAAAAACAATTAAAATGCCAAGATTTTTAAATATTACCTTTTCAAGATAAAGTAAACAAAATGAATTTAATTTAATTTATAAAAAATAATTTGAAAATAGAATTTATTATTGACTTGATAATATTTGAATTTCTATAGTAATTAATAGATATAAAACAATTATTTCACACAAATATTTGGAATTCGAAATAGGAAACATATGGGTTAAGAATTACCATAATATAATTAGATTTTAATTTATATATAAAACTGAGGGTTTTGTTAATAATTTAAAACTGTAAAAACTCAACATTTGAATATGAAATTAACTAATTCAAGTCAGAAATGTCCTGGACAATAAGGCAGCAAAAGTACGTTGAAAAAAACACACTGAAGATAAATACCTCGGACAAAAATGACACTGGACATAAATATAGAAATTTTAGAAAAATTATAAGGCTTAAATAGGTAACCAGTATTTTTTAATTAAATGCGTTCCATTAAATTAAAACTGTTAAACTAATAATTTATAACTGAGAATTTTGATTTAAAAGACAGCGCATTTAAGTACTTCTTTAAAAAAACTCAATGATTTTCAGGAGATTATTGATAGAAAAATATAAGGGTTAAATATTTAATAAGTATAAATACTTGTGGATTAATTGATGTTTAAAAATAACTAATGTTTATTGAATTGAACAAATTATATCGCTAGAGTATTTATGCCACTATTATTATTTTATTTATAGTCAGAAAATATATTATATATTTTAATTTATATAATTATCTTATTTTATGTAACCAGCTTTAAAATTAACAAATGTTGACGTGATTAGCCCATGAACATGAATTGAATGCAAGTGGTGAATATATTATTGATGGCGTCAATAAAAACAGCCTCGCATACATAATTACAATTCCGGGGAACGCAGACGACGGAGGTAGCACCGTTTAGACATTGTACAATATTTGAACAAGGATCGCAGCCAGCTACCATGGTCCCTGGATCCCCACAAGCGAATGGGTTCTGTGTTACAACCTGAATTGTCACTATTGGAGTTATTTGAGTCGAGGTTGTTGGGCTCAAAGTCACTGCTGTACTCAAAGCTGTCGATATGTTCGAAGTCACAAATCCGGCTTATTTTAAGTATATATTTTTTATTTGATTTAATTATACACTATGTATATTAAAAAAAATTTTTTTAATAAACATTTATTTACTAATTTATAAAACTAAACCTACATTTCGATATCCTGTAAAAAAATGGGTGGGTGGTTAATAACCTGAAGGGGCAATTTACGAGAATAATTGACAATTCTTAGAAATACTTCTTTGGGATCATATTTGGTTTATAAGATTTGTCTCTATATTTCTATATTATCTAGAATAGCATTTGGCGTTAAATGAGGGAGTGGGGTGCTCCCTCATAAATTTTCTTACTGGGTCTTTGTAAATATTGAGCGAATTAAAAAATTCTCCCATTCTCCCCAGCCCCTCTTTCAAATGTGGAAAAATTAGCAAAACGTATTTCCCTCACCACCTAATTAAAAATACCCCTCTCTAGAGTATTTTTATTGATTCCTTGAATGTTAAAAACAATTTATCAAATGTCGATGGTAATTAAGTTTCCTTTATAATATCTTAAAAAAACAACATTTTTATTCTATTATATAATAAAATACGACTTACGAGGTGCAGTAGGGAAAGGGCAGCAACAACCATATTGATCTTGTACTTTTTTAGATGTCGGTCTAAGATCGCAAAAAAAATTGCTTGGACAAATAATACCACCTCTAACACCGCAAATCACATTAGGTAACGCTGCGCTATTTGGGCATAATCTACAATCTACATCAATATTGGGACAAGTTCGTTTATTCAATTTTAAAAAAAATGTTTTCAAAATTTGTAATCATTTTAAAATGCACAAATATTATCGCTGTTATAATTATATTATAATACCTACTATTTAATCATATATTATTCTTCATTTGTATATTTGTGTAAATATAATTTCATATTTTTAAAAAAAATTATATTAATTTAATTATTATGAAAAGTTATTTTTATATCAGTTTTAATAAAATTATCTATCAAATAATTTTAAATTATATAGCATATATATTCATTCATTCCTTAAAAATAAAGTTTCCGATCTGACACTCTCATTTTTATTTAAAATTGATTAAATTACACTTAAATATTTCAAACCCAGGCAAAAATATGGAATGAGCAGGGGGGGGGGAGTGACAAATTTATCAAATTCAAATTACAATCCAAAAATATTAAGGGGAAGAACTGGAAGAGAGAACTCGGTAATGGCTAATAAAATAAATAGGTATTTTATTTTTCTTTAAATTTTAAAAAATTTTATCTTAAAAGTATGGGAGATCGGAATCCAGTTAAACTTTCAGGCGTAATTAATCCCATTTTTTAAATTTAAGAGACTGATATTTAAATTTTGTCTCAATTTAGATTTTAGTAACGGGCATTAGTTTAATATTTTATCCAAAATAATATTACGCAAGCCTCAGAATTTTGTTAATAGATGTCTCAACCTTTCTGCCACCTATAATCAATCTCCAATCTTTCGTGACATTTTTTGACTAAAATAAGGTTGGCGGTTTTTGAAAAAAAAATCGAGCCATTTAACAACACCAATGTGCATCACTCACAAAAAAAATATTTTTAATTAATTAACTTATTAAATTTTTCATGTGTCAAATATGTAAATTTTTTCAAGACATGATTATAATTGATGATATTAAATAATATTAATATGTAATTTAACTTTTATTGCAAAGTTTGAATCACCTTTTATAATTAGAGAAAATTTTACGAACATTTATAGTATAACTGGAATAATATTGAAATTTTTTTTGATTTTATTTTTGATAACAAATTTTAAGAAATATCATTTTTTTAAAAATGGAATCATCAGTATTTATAGGCCCTAAATGTTGATAATTTTTTCAAAAAAAAACACTGGGTTTCGAAATTAATAAAAAAAAATTCTAATGTAGGTAAGTAGCATATAAATTATTTTTAAAAATAATCTATTGGGGTCAAATTAGTCGTGGATTTTCACCATATATAAAAATCAGAACAACGGATGAATATTTTGCAAACAAAGCATATCTTAACCATTATATAATAGGAGAGAAACCCGTGAAATCCTAATTTTTAAAAAATTACGATAAAATTCTTATAAAAAGTGAATGTAAATAATCCTTCAAATATGCTGGGTCGGATGTGCCCCAAGTCTCAAGCCTAAATCGAAAAAGATGATCTACTGTTTTAAAATTTCCACGGGTAATAGAGAAGAGTTTTTTTTAAATTTTATATGTTATTTATTTTAAACTCTTCAGTAAAATTCCAAGCAAAATTTTCTCCCAAAATTTAATATTTATTTTGACGATAATATTTTTTCGAAAGGTATATTTAATAAAAAAAAATTAAATAAGATGAATTTGAGTCAGGTGTGCCCCTTGACACCAAGTGCTCTGATCTCCCTCCAATATAAAATTTAAAATCAAATAAATAAAATACTTAAAAATTAACAAAGTAACCTGGTGTAAAAAATGAATCTTGATTGATTTGGTTTTTAATTTGAGACGGTGGACTTTTCTTTTGTTGTGCCCCTTGTTGATCGTTTCCATATTGAAATGAATCTTCGAAATCAATAGCGCCGATATCCTCTTGACCTAACATTTTGACTTGTTTTGGCGGTAACTGTGTAAAGGTTCGGGGTTATATAGTTTTTAATAAATTTTATGTTAGTGTATGATTATTGAAATTACTCCTTCAATTTAACTACTTTATGTTAGTGTTATTTAGAAAAGCCTCAAGATTTTAACATTATCTGCACTTTCCCCGAAAATAGCAGAATGCTTTAACTCATTTTGGCCGAATCGCAAGGCTATAATAATATTGTTTTAGATAAAATTTTGATTTAACTACTTTAAAAAAAAATTGACTAAATTGAGATATTTTTTTATAAATGTATAACTTTTACGATTAGTTTTTTTGTTTTAAATTTGGGAAGGACCATTTCAGATAATAAATTTTTTCTTACAAATCTATGAATCATTTACAAAATATAATCATACCGAGTTTAAGACACATATTTGCGTTAGGAATATAATTATTTGGGGTTTTAACATTTTTGGTTTTAAATTAATAAAAATGTAAAATGAAAAAAAGAGTAAAAATTTTAAAGTAAAATAAATGAATATTTCAAATTAAACGTTATACATAAAAAAAATTAAATAATCATAATTCGAATTAGATTTTTCATCAAACCAAAAACTGGATTATGTGCGATATATTTTCTTCTTTAATATCATGATTCTTCAATTATCTCCTCATAAATTAAAACAGACTTAATTTTTCCCTTTTCTAGCACATTATTAAAATGTTATATCAATTGAAAAAGAAGATTCAACATAAAAATTAAGGAATGATAGGTGGTATGTATTCAATTTACATTCATTTAATTCGCTAAAAGGTATTTTTTCTTTTTCTTTTAATTATAAAGTGGGTTAATTTGAGGCATACTTTGTGAGGAAGTAGACGCTTTGGTAATGTATAATTTGTTTTCCCTAATAAATTAAATTTATATAACTAATTATTGCATATCATTTGGTAAAGATTCATTATAATGATTTATCATTATCATTTAAATAATTCAAATTTTTTTTCTAACTATTAAGTTTTTTTTTACTATGTCAAATATCAGATCATCAAAGCCGGGCTTGGGTAGAAATAAGCTGTAAATTTTCAAAAAAAATAAACCCGGGATATTCATTCACTGATCATATTTTCAATTCCTGGCTTGGGTAGGAATAAGCTGTAAATTTTCAAAAAAATAAATAAACCCGGGATATTCATTCACTGATCATATTTTCAATTTCTCTTTTGAAATTGTGATGTATCCCAAATATTATTTTTTTTAATTATCAGTGCGAAATTTAAAATAATTTTATTTAGTTCTTGAATGAACTTTGTAGTAATCAACTCTGGTTTCTCTTTTTTTTCCTGTTGTATCTTTTCATGTAGAAAAGTTTTATGCCTTTAATGTTATGAAAGAATCTTCCAGATTTTGGCATTCATTTTTTTTTCCAACTAATTTATTAATTTTTTTTTATTTATATTCAATTCTTTTTTTTAGCTAGTTCTTACGTTTCTTCCATAGTCGCCATTTATAAAAATTATTTCAAAATGCATAGAAAATTATTTAAATTAATAAAATTTTAAAAAATTCCAGGGGCCGGCTAAATTTTATTCAGAAAAAAATCCGGGCCAGTATAGTTTTGTAAAATCAATACCATATAAAAAAATACTACCCCCCCCCCCTCCAACCATGACCTTGTAATAAAATAATCAGATCTCAATTAAATATTCCATAACTCCTGGGGAATATGTACAATTTATAGAAGATAGTTGAAATGTATAAAAAAGCTGACTAAAGGATTTATGACAAAAGATAGGCTAGTGAGTAATAATCGATTTTACATAGATGGTTGTCTAAAAACTAGGGATGATCATAATTATTATAAAATGCAATTTAATTCTTAATGACAATTTATTTAATTAATCAATTCCTTTCCTAAAATTGGTAATTAATTACTAATTAGAATTACATATAATCGCTCTTTTATAGAGTTAATTATAATTATGATTCCTTTTCATCTTAATTGTAAAAATAAAAATTAGAGTAGGATTTTATAAAATATCATTAAAAATTAAGGAGAAACTTTATTAATGGACGTATAATATCATATAATACTTCTATTTATATTATAAATAATATTATGATTTGTATTTTTATGTTTGAAAAAAATCGATGTCCTGCAGAAGTTACAATTTCACGGGTTGGCCTGGATTTGTAAAACAAATCTACCTGGCTAATTATAAAAAAATTTTTTTTAGTCCAGACTCGTTATTTTTTTTAAAAAATTACGGCCTGGGTATAAGAATATTTTTTTTGCGACCCTTGTTTATACAATATTTTTTAACGACAAATTTATATAAAAGAAAATTTTGGTTTGAATTTTAAAAAAATATATAAATTCACGGTTCGTTTATAAATCCAAGAAAAGTAGTAAATAATTGAGTGTATAAAATTTATAATTTCACTAAAATTAATTATGATTAGTTGAATAATTTGTTATATATTTTACCTTTATTTTATAAATTTGTTAAGTATTTTCTAAGGATCGATAAAATGGTTTCGAAATGGCAATATGAGAAGTGAAAGAATGTGATATATTTTTCTAAGTAGTGTTGTTGAACGGTCAGGTCCGATTTCGGTTGTTTAAAAAAAAACAGTTATGATTAAAATTTTAGCAAAAATAATATTATGGGAAATTTTGCTTAAAGGTGGCAATAAGGTTTGGACCTCTTTTACCAAGTCAAGGCTTAGATAATATTTTGGCTACTTAATCGGGCTGTGTTTAAAAAATCAAATACAATAATTTTTAAAAATATTTTATTTGATTAATTTATTATTTTATATATTATATAATATATAATAGTCCCGATTTAAAATATTCGACCCGGCCCGGGTATTTTTGAGAATTTTTTTTATGTCCCGCCCAGTATTTAAAATATTCTTAGACTAGGCCCGGATTTATTTTAAACTGCAGGTATTTGAAGAAATATACAGGCCTTACTCGTTAAGTTAAATATATAATAGGTTTAACTCATGTGTTTTTTTAGAAATTATAAAAAACAATATATGAATCGATACCTATAACTATTCTCTACAAAGGTGCCTTATAAATATTTTTAGCAATATAATCGTATTTTTGAAGTTTTATTTTTTGTAAATGTTGAAACTTTGCCCAAAAAGCCCCAATAGCGGTGTTAAACCTCTACACGGGGCTTCCTAAACCATTAGTTCATCAGGCTATAATGAAGTGAAATGTATTTATATTTATTAATAATGATAGGTATAAAATAATTTTATTATTTTATTGTTCAAAATATCATAATAATTCTTTTAAATTGAAGCTAATTATATATAAAAATCGAAACTTAATTTGGGTTAATCTATTAAAATCTGGATATATAAAAATAAAGATCTTAAGAAGAGATTATGATTTCTTAGAATAAATCCTTAAATTTAAAAAAATAATTTATCATAAAATTTTGAAGCTTTCATGAACGTGAACGCGTTCCTTTTTTTTGAAAGTGAACGTGAACGCGTTTGATTTTTGTCGATGAACGCGAACGCGTTCGATTTTTTTAGAAATGTTTACAGCACTAAAAAAACAAATAAATAAAAAAAAATTTAAAAAAAACGAGAATTTTTTTTCGTAAAAATTACTTTAATTTTTTTAAATATACCCGAGCCGGGCCCGAAATTTTTTTAAAAAAACACCCAAGCCGGGCCTATATTTTTTGAATAAATTTTTATTCAAATTTATTAATTTCTTCATTTTTTTAAAAAAAAATCTTCAAATCTTCAAAATTTATTTATTTATATTTTTCTCTTCTAAGAAGAGAAGAGAAGAGAAGAGAAGAGAAGAGAGAGAGAAGAGAAGAGAAGAGAAGAGAAGAGAAGAGAAGAGAAGAGAAGAGAAGAGAAGAGAAGAGAAGAGAAGAGAAGAGAAGAGAAGAGAAGAGAAGAGAAGAGAAGAGAAGATCCTGATTCCGATGGGTTATGGGATATCTTACTATTAACTTCAAAGAAACATTGCAACCGTTTTAAAAATATCGTTAATAACAAACTAAAACTGGGCGTGATATGCTAAATGCCTGAAACACCTTGCCAATAAGTTGTGGGTTTTATTTAATTTATAAATATATATTTATTCTAAAAAAAATTAAATTCATACAATTAATCTTGAAACATCATAGATTATGATAATTCTATTAATATTTATTAAAAATTAATTTAATCTTCCCTTTAACAATTAATAATAAAAATATTTTCAAAATAGATAAGCAAAAAGGAACAATATATATTATAACTCTAATTATAAATTTGACTTTATACTATTTTTATAAATTTAAATATTTATATAAAATCAAAAATCACACAATATTTTAATATTATCTTGAATTTCAACGCCATATCACTTTTCTGTACCACTAGGTTTACACTCACAAGATCTACAATTAAGAAACCCATTTGGACATTTTATGGGGCACATAATTGGAAAGCATCCTAATTCTATTTTAAATATAAAAATTGAAGAAAAAATATAAAAATTAACACTAACTTAAAATATTAACCACATTATATATATAATTTTTTAAGATATCCAGCCGTGTATAAAATTTAAAAAACAAGGAAACATCTTAAATCATTTTTTACAATGATATGGTGGGTTTAAAAATTAAATCATTTATAATCTAGATTAGGGTTAGCAAAATTAGCAATATTATTAGACTAATGAATTAGAAAAAAATTATTTAAAATTTTTTGAATTTCAATACTACATACATAACATAATTTATATAAATTAGGGGCCACAACTCTCAACTATAAAACCGTAAATCAGTGGCGTAGCCAGGATTTTATCATGAGGGGGGTTTTAAAAACGCCCCCCCCCCAAACCTTCTATTTTTTTGAACACTTAATTGCTTATATTTTTGGATTTGTTAAAATTGTTTTATATTTTCATATAACAAAATTTTAGGCTATTTTATTATATATTTTACATTCCTTTATTTAATCATATATATATTTTTATAATTAAAATATTTTCAAAATGTTGATGATTTATATAATACAGATTTTATATTAAAAATTATAATGTATAAAGACTCTATTTTTAAAAAAGTAATTTTTTACAATTATATAAAATATGTGTAATTCTTATGCAAATAATGGTATTTAAAAAAATATGATGATATTATCTTATAAATAATACTTTTTTTACAAAAAAAAGTTGATTATATATTAAAACTAATAAAATCTTATTGCTATTTTTTGATTTGAATTTAAAAAGAGAGATCTACTTTTCTCAGAGATTTTGCTAATTCATCTAGAATCAAATTTTTATCTAAAATAATCCCCTCGTTAATATTCAATAGGGCTAATCCATTTAAACGTTTTTCACCGGTTGTGTTTCTTAAATAGGTTTTTAACCTTTTTAAAGTTGAAAAAGATTTTTCATTAATGCAGGTACTAATTGGCAAGGTGCAGGGAATCTAAAATGCAAATACACATGGAAAGGGCCTACAGAGCATTTTTTCGTCTCAAAGAATACCCTATTCTGTCAAGATTTTTATACCAAAATTCGACATCACAAAGTAACTTATCATATGAACCTACTAAATCATCAGCATAAAACTCTGAGATTTTCTTAATATTCTCTCGTGTTTCAAGTGTAATCAACAGTTTAGACTCAACCGGCAAAAGAAAATAAAAGCTTTGAAAATCAATAAGGGGAATAAAAATGTTTATTTTATAAAAATCCTCAATCGTAGATGCATCAATATTTGAACGATTTGATTGTCTAGAGACTACTCTAGGTTTAAAAATTTCAATTCCAAACATATTAGCAATCTCCTTTACTTTTTCATATATTTCATGAAATTTTTCATCCACATTCTCTCTGATATTTGTTGATATTTCAACAATATCTTTGCTCTATTCATAATCTCCCTTAAATCCAAATCAATTTTTTGTAGCATTTTGCTAAAATCATATGTATAATTAAATAAAAAATAAACATATTGAATTGAAATTAAAAACTGTGGCTTAATAATAGCCTGCAAAAGATTATCGGCATATGCTGAATCTTTTTCCTTGCTTGATATATAAAATTCTAGCGCTGCAAAGAAAACATCATATATTTCAATAAAGAGTTTCACCAACTCTTGTCTTTCGATGAATCTGGTCGGACAAAATCTTTAGTTTTTTTTTTGATTTTTTAAGTCAATATCATGATACGTTTGAATAAATAACTTCCTTTTTTTGGGTGGTGTGAAGCTGCAAATCAATAAATA